TTCAGTCACATAAAGATGTTGATATCAGGATTGCTGAAGTTGAATGAATGCTGCAAAATTTGATTTAAAAAAACCAAGAACCAATTCTAAAACTGTTTTAAAATCAAATATCACAATTTTGCCATTTTCTCCAAAACTACTAAGGAAATGTAACCAAACTGTGCATGAACAGAGCAATAATTATTCAGAATGAAGAAGGGGATTCAGGTTTGTTCAATATCGAAGTGTCATATATCCCCTTTCAACATGTTCAAAGAGAGTTAAATAAGAATTTTAAAAAATAATCTAAGTGTAGAATTATATTCTTCAAACCACATCTTCCAGTTGTAGGTGTATTAAAACTTTCCAATTATGAACCTATTTCTTCTTTCACTAGTCAAAGTGCTCAGGTGAGCAATGTGGCTTATTGTAAAGTGCATGTTTTCTTTCTATTGAATTCACAAGCTTAGTATTTTTCGTAATTCTTCATCATTCTACTTGTATTTCTTTAGACACACACACAAAAATTGTTTGACCCATTCGAAACAAAACTTTTCATTTTGAATGTTTCTAGGATTATATCCCTTGATCAATTCTCTTTCAATCTGGCAAGGGAAGTAATTCAAAAAAGGCCCTAATAGAAAAAAAAAAAAATTAATTAATACTTATAAACATAAGAATCCGCTGTTCTTTACACTTGTTCTTAATATTCAGGAATTTGGTAATATTTCATCAGTCAAGATAATCAATTGGCCAAAAAAAAAAAAAAATTGCCATGAGGCGTGACTTAAAATGTGGTTCTTTATCACTATTTATGGATTTTATTTTTATTTGAACCTTGAAACAGAATAAAAAAAATCTCTTTTCCACATAGCCTCAGAAGCTACCTCCACTTTGACAAGGTTATAGCTTCCTGTTTGGACGTAACTAAATCGATTGATGGATTTTCTTATCAATTTATCAATATTGTGTACGATTATTGAAAAATCCAGTGTGTGGTTTAACTTTTGTTAAAAAACCAGGAGAGATATGTTAAACGCTGTATGTCTGCCTGAATTCTTCAGTGGGGGAAATTAAATCAGCAGTGAGGAAATTCTCTGGTGGCCAAGAGTGCTTTTTCATGTGGTGTTATAAGGAATTTTCTTCATGTTTAGCTGTTTTTCCAATGTAATATTGATAAACGTTTCTGCAGGGGAAGCAACAACCTGTACTAACCTCTATTAACTTATTATTAGCAATAAATGTCAGAGTAAATAAATGATTTCTGTGTAGTTGAATTAATTTTCCAGTTTGCACCTTTAGGGAGCATTGACAGATTTAACTTGAAAACTCCTAGAAATATTTTTTCCGAGTGCCTCGGATGGCCAGAGTACATTGTTCTTACATTATTTTGAATACATACTAGGTTGCCTTTCATCATTGGGCCATTCACGAAAGAAGCACTTCAGTTGGATAATCAGAAATTAGTGGGAGCTACACTTTCCGTCAAATAAAACATACAATTTGTTTCAAGGGTCTTTTAACAAGTTATTAGCCCCATTAAAGGATGGGCTGTCTTTGCCAGACAAAGACACTTACAGACTTCTTCGTAGGAAAACTGTGTACTTTTGCAGGAAATCTCTATTTCATACAAACAGACAAACAATGTGGGGAGGGAATGAAGGACTAATTGTCCATTTGTGTCACATTTGGCATACCTTTACACCTGGCTATGTCACCCTGGGTACAGATGCATGCTGGGGTTCAGCTAATTCCAGCAGTTCAGGGGATTAAAAATAGCGAGATATCATCAAAACTGAGGTCTTCCTTAATGTCATTTTTGCACGGATAATTTCTTTTTTTTGTTAGAATTAAGTTAGAGATCTGTGCACTAGCAGATAGGATTAAAATAGAACCTATGGACAGGAATTAAGGGGCTCCCATGCAGCGGTCTGCTCACTTTTGAAGGTCAATACATAAAGGTGTTTCAGAATTACATAGAATGACTGCAAGATATAAGATAGAGCAGTCTTGATATAAAAACTGGAAACTTTAAGGTATCTCAGGTTACTGTGTGAATCGAGGTCCCAACTAGGTGGGCTGAACAGGTGAGAAGGCGTCACTATTTACCATTACTTCTGTTACACTGAACAGATTCTGATTATATAGCAAAGATTCTTCTAATTTTTATCCCGCAACAATCTTGTCTTTAACTAAGCAGAAGAATTTGTTTTCTGGGTTTGTAAGGTTTCCAGTTTTATGTATTGTTAAGTTAAACAAATCTGACACTTTGCTTTGCCCCTTGTCTCTGAAGAGAATTTTTTCTAGTATTTACATTTCAAATATATTCAAAGAATCCATATCTCGTTTCAGTAGTCATTACCTATTAGAATCTGGGTTGCTTACAGCATAATTGCTTTTATGTTATTTCTGGATGCAAGATTTTTTGGGGCAGACTACTTCTTTACAGTGGGAGGTTATACTTTAGGGGGGCAATCATGCTATAACATAAATATTTACATAATGTTTATGTTACATGGATGAAACATGTCTTAAATGAACAATTAAGCAATTATAATGTCCTTTATGAAAGTTTAATCATTGTAGATCATGTCAAAATAATTATGTTGTGTTTTATCTGGCTCAAAGAAACAAATGTATTTTTGGAGAAGGTTGGGTGGAAAATTGCTTCATCAAGAGGAAGGCTTTTTCTACAACTGTCGGGTTTATAGAGACATGTGATATTTATGAGAGGTTAATTATTCTTTCACTAGAATGCTCAATTTGTACAAGGCTCAATTTTTACAAGTGCATCTGGCAATGCTATGTTAATTGAAATATTTGTGAATATTTCATTAAATATATGTTCTGCGAAACATTTCTTTTTTGGTCCTTACATATTTAACATAAGGACAGCTTTGAAGTTGTTAATTCCAAGAAATTCTAATCATTATGTATCTTTATGCTATATATAAATTGAATTAATTTGATACAATTCTTCTAGAGGACCTTTATCTTTAGATGTAGCCAGAAAAGTAGTGAATTACGTGCCTAGTTTGGATCATTGATTAAGTTTGATTTAGAGCTTGATTAATCCAGAACTGAATGCCTTGTACGGTATGCTAGCATTACTTCATCTAAACACATCTAGAAACTCATCTCCCTCCATTTGTTGAGGTTTCTGTTCACATGGAATCATTTGGTTTGCTTAAATCTGATCACAAATTCACATAACACATTCTTTGTTCCTGTTGTTACAATAAGGGTTAACATTTCAGCTTTATTCATTAGAGGGGAGAAACATTCACAAACTTTGAAAATAAAAAAAATTACAGACAATCAAGTTTTGTCGAGAATTTTTGTTAATTTAGTGAAGTGAGTCTCAGCATTCTGAAGATTTTTGTAAGATCTTGGAGTTTGAATTTTGAAAAACATGCCAGTTTAATGTTTGCAACATGTGGGAAAAACCATCTATCTTAGCAAAAATGTTCAGTTTTCTCTTCATTGTGTATTAGGATTCATTCATTCAATGTTTTTATCAAATCAAACACAAATTTAAAAGAGAGGAATTTCCATACTTTTGTGTTGACAAAAATCTGCCAGCTTCATGTTGTTGTGAAAATTAAAGCTTTTTTAGAGAGAATTTGGAGCCTATTCTCTGCCTTGTAATCACAGATTGGAGTCTCTCTAATTCATGCCTCCATTTCTTAACATGTCCAGGATAAAGGGCTTGTAGATTGTGTGTTTTTCATGTATTTTCTGTGATTTGGAAGATTCGGATGTCAATTACGGCAGCAAGATGAATGATCCCCCAGTTTATATAACATATTGATAAGAATATTATTCAGATTTACTCCGGCAGAGTAAAGTTATCTCCCCTTAGTAGAGTGAAGTAAGATTGATGAATTGGGCTTAAGATCATGTCTTATGCCACAAATTGATGAAATACCAAAGGATTTTAATGACAATTTATCTTTTGTAAGAATCAATTTGGCCATTGAAATTGGTGTGAAGATGTCAGGATATTTTTGGATGAAAAATTATATTTGTCTGATGTAGGCCTCAACATGAAAGTGGGGTCAGTCAAGAATTAACACTGATTTCATGAAGAAAGAATAAATTGAAATATGGGCAATAGGAAATATTAATTTTTCAACAAATCACAAGCCACTTCTGCTACTAAACTGCTGTTTTTATCACCTGTTCAGGTGTTAAATTGCAAAAAAAAAAGCCCTTAATAAATATTTGATAATTAACATAGAATCATAAATTTTGCATGAGAGTTTGGAAATAGGTTGAGAATGATTTGACATGAAAGTGTGTGAGAACCACACAAATCACACCTCAATGATCTGTATGATATAACCACTTATACTATCAGTCAAAGAAGTGGAAATCTGCTATAGTCAATTGTTAAAATAAACTGTGACTGCTTCATTAACCTTCTATTTACAGATTACATACATTCCAACTCGCGTAAATGTTGGTACCAAACACCGGGAATTAAGCATGTAATATGTCACTATGGATTGTATTGTTTCCCCAAACTGACAGACATATTAATGTATTTTGGGAGAGAATTTCTCCAACATTAGGCAGCTTTTCATGTCTTTGATAAATTTCAGGCTACGTTACTTTTACATGTATTTCATAGACATGGATAAGCTGTGTATAGACGACGAACTGATTGCAGCTTACGTGACATTTAATTCTCTGATCGGAACCTCCTAATTAATTAATACAAATGCTGGGCATTATACCGCTAAACTGCCCTTCTCAAAATGATAAGAAAAACATAATTCTGACAGACTCAAAAAATTTTGGAAGTTAAAAGGATTCAAATAACAAAAGTGATATCAAAAGAGATAATTGTACCAGTACCTTACCTGTGGTGATAAAGTCTGCTTTTCCGTGGCGTGGAGTAAATAAACAAAGTGATCAGTAGTTGTGAATTGTGTGCCGACAGTGACTGATTTTACATTGGTGGGCTGGCCTGTTACATCGTAAGGCAGGGTAATGGAATATCTGATTTTCTGTTTTAGTGCTGGGATATTGGACCAGACTTACTAGGTGCATGTGGAGAATAAAAAGAAACAGAGGACACCAGTGTGAACATGTGAACTCACAGGTAAGTCCTCTAAAAGGAATTCTCACAATGAAATTCTAATTGAGATCTTTTTCATAAATTAAAGGATGTTGTGTTATGTTTAAAAAATTTCTTTTATCAATTTTGATATGAGATCTAAATTTTCCTCTGAAATGCACATTATTATTATAATTCACTGTTACTTCAAAAATGTCCAGCAGACTTTGACTAAAAATGTATGAGGTGTAGTGATTTCAGAAGAATTAGGTTAATGTTTTGAAACATTTAACTTGGTTTTTTGTTTTTTTTTTTTGAAATTATATGTGATTGCTGGATTTAAAATGTATACAATGTGTATATAAGTATAACTTGTACATTAATGTACCTTTATCAAATTAAAAAAAAAACTTGAAAATGTTTCAATATTTTACTTTATAATCTTAAAGTTTGAGTAAAGAAATTTTTTTTTGGTATTAAAACACCATATTTTTTTTTAAACTGAGTAAAAAGAATACTGGTGCAAAATACAAGTGTGGAAAGTACAGGAACTCTTTATTCAGTCTTTCAATTGTGGATTTAGAGTAAATAATGATCATGTTTTACCATGTTAATCATATTTTCAAATACAATTTCCAAAAACTCATTTAGTTCTCATTTGTTTACACTTTCCTTCATATTTAAGGGTAAAATTTACTTTCAACTAATTTTAAATATTTGTATTGCTTGATTTAGTCAAACCATGTTTGTTTTTCGTTGAGGACATAGGTTATACATGCCCAGGGTTTATGTATTCAGTTTTGAAAGATCATTATGACTTTTCTGATCTTTTAGAAGCAACAAAAAAGAGAAAAGTAACTTTTGTAAAGGAAATTTTCTCAAAGAGTAAATATATTTAAATTCTTAAAGCATTCAAATTTACTGACTAAATTTGTATTGATATGGATATAAAAATCAATGACAAAAAATTGCGTTCCATGTTTGGACGGAGATGTTTTTCATTTTCAGTAATTTGCTGAATAAGATGAACTCACCCAAGGTTATTTAGATTCTGTGTAATCTTTCACAAATTCATATATCCGTTAAATTCATTTGGGGAATATTTATGAAACCCAAACAATTTTGTCCAACACCTAGCATGATTCTTTTACTCTCAGTGTGCTCTAGGTAGTCTGACACAGGGATCAAAGGATCTATCTCAACATGTAGGAAAAATATTCCATAGAACCTGTCCTTTTTTGCTTCCATTGCTTATTGCAGATGAAATAAAAACATTTTATTTTCAGCAAAGTTCTTTAATGGCCAAAGAATAAAAATCTACACTGAATTTCTTATCTTTTAAAAATTTAAAAAGATGTTACCGGTACATTTAAGAGTTTCAGGTTAGTTCAATCAGTAGTGGTTATCGGGGACGATCATTTTTCATGTGCATATTTATAATATTGTGTGAAGTAAATAAATAATAAATTTACTTACATTAATTGAATTGTCATTTGTTGAACCACTTTAAGAAACATGGTGACATGAAATTTGTAATGTATTGGGATTTTATCTCATCAATCAAAATTTCACTTGCCAAATGCTTAAATTGGTTTTTGGAAAGAATGACACAATTGGCGATTGTGTTGGTGAGATTATTATAATTTTGATTCATAAAACTGATGTCTGTTACTCACTGTAAATATACTTCCATTATCACAATGTATCAAACTCAGAGACAATCAAAACATCTTTTCCAAGGTCTCTTCATTATCTAGTTGTGATTTGTTTAAAAAAAAATGTTTTGTTATAAGGCAATTTTATGAATAGTTTGACCATATTTGATATTGAATAATCTGTCTATCTGTCTGTTTGTGAGGTGTTGGATTTAGTTGATTTGGATGCACTGGTTTGGAACACAGTGGCTGTAAATTTATATATAGACACATCACAGAGAATGCAAAGAATATCAAAGACACACTTTCATTCACCTACTTGATATAGGATAAATTTCTGTATGGTTGTTTCTATATTCCTGATCCAGTGACATTGAATACCATTTTGTTTTTGATGTGAAGCTAAGATCTTGTGTTTACCAGACTTGCAACAGAAAACAGCTACCCAATAACAAGCTAATACAAGGTAGTTTGGACATTTATTTGAAAATGACGAATACATTCTTTTTGAGATGCTGACCTTCATTTTAGAGAGGGTTGCAACATAGAAGGTTAATTATTGATATCAAAATTATTAAGAAAGTCTGAAAATGAGGATTTTATTGGTAGTTTAAAGCAGCAACCTAAACATCCAGGAGATTTAAGATTTGTACTTATTGCTAGACATCATTATGTTTGGAGTGAATTTTCTGAGATTTGTCCCTATTGTTTCCGTATTACATGCATCTGAAAGGTTTCCAATATTGGGAACTCAGAAGGTTGATGTCCTTCTTATAGTGCAAGGCACTGTGGCAGAATTTTAATCCTTTAATTCCGAGTAATCTAAGGTCATGATTGTAAGGTTTTTTTTGGGGGGTATCCTTTATGTAATTCATAGAACATGCAGTGACCTTGTTCAAAAACGTTATACAAGTTTACTGATCTTTCAGATGTGATTAATTTGATAGTTTCTTGAGATAAAATCCTGTGTGGGGTATTTTTAAAAACTTTCAATGAAGAGATTTAGAATAGGTGTAATGCACATTTTCCAATATAAATCAAATACTTAAACATGCAAAGGTTTAAATCTGTGCAAAAGGGCCAAGGCCTTAGAGTTACGATAGGTGAGAATTTGCAAAGATCTGTTCTAAGGTAAACACTTTGAAATTTGATAGTTCACTGCATGTTGGAGAAAGATTGGCTCAACAAATCCCAAGATTGTTGGTTGTTTAATTGCATGTGATAACCCAGAATTGATTTTTGTGTCTCATCCCAAATTAGAGCAGCTATCAGGTGTTAGCCGATAAGTCAGGGGCCGAAGAATGCTATTGTCCAATATTGGAGATAATATTTGTCTTCTCCAATTGTTCTATCACAAAATGATTAAAGTCACATCCCAAATAAATTGGCATCAGTTTGGAGAAGACTCTTTCTGTAAAGGTGTTGAACTATCTGGCTGGTCCCAGATAACAGTCCTCTTGACTGGTTCCCAACAAAAGATCTAACACAATAGGTTCAGTCGCAGCGGGACTGTCTTTTGTTTTATGTTTTGTTTTTTTTAATTCGGTGACATATTTATAACCTTGATTGATTCAGTTTGGGCTTATCAATTAATCGTTTGAATTAAAGAAACGAGATTAGATTGTTTGTAATATTTTTAACACTTAGAATGGAGAGGAAGAATAATTTTTAAAAAAGAATTAAATTGTTTTTACTCAAACCAGACACTTCATTTGGGAGAAAAAATGAATGTGACAACTTTCATTGATACAGGAGGCCTACCTAAAATAAATGAGTGGTATTGTAGCATGTTTTTTGTTCATGTGAAAGGTTTGAAGATGAAAGTAAATGGTTGTTATGGTTAGTTTAGATTTTTTCTTTGGTGCTTTCAGAATCTTTCTTCAGTGATTCTCCAATTTAAATGGCATTCAAATCATATATTAGTTGTTCATTTAAAAGTTCTAAGTGCTTGGAGCTATGATTTCACACCTGTCATAGTTTCTGATGGTGTGGAGTAAAAGTACAGATGATTAAATCATACTACACTTTAAGTACAAAAGTTCATCTGAATGCTCGGTAAATAAAATAATTATAATTTTTCATATTGTACCTTTTCATGTAATACTTGTCAGAAAAAAAAGAAATGTTCAATTTTTATGAGTATAACTATTGCATTAATTGTGTTAACTTTAATATATTGCCAGATAGTCATGCACTCAATGGTTTTATTATTTCTCAGAATTGTGGAATCATTTCAAAGGAGGATATTTGTAGCATTTATAGTTTATTTTATAAGCTACTATAAGAATTAATTACTCGATTGAAAACATTCTTATATGTACAGCAAGACTTTGTTAGTTAACTCCAGGTTTGTACAGCTTACAATCAATAACCCATCACTGATGAAGTGCTCTTTTTTCTATGGCTGAGTATGAAATACCAATTGCTCTAATTTGTTTGCTTTATTTGCCAAAAACGGCAGTAAAAAGAGTTGCAAATTACTTGCTAATGAATGTCTATGCAATATTTACAATTCATTTTGTTGTTATAAAAGCCGTGGACTTGACAAAAGGATAGATTGTACTGATAGATGAAAGCAAATAAAGCCAAAAATATATAATTATGCTTTATCTACAAAGTTACAAATGTAGAACAAGCAATTACTCAATCTTAAAGTGTATTAAAATTTTATATTATAAGCATGTAATAATAGATCTACAACATTATATTATGCACATCCGAGTCATTCGATAGAAAATTTGAAGTATAGGCCTACACAATTTATATTACTTGATTCAGTGTTTTGCCACCATAATTGAAAATTCAGGGGTACTGTGGTGTATGGAGTTTTTGCCCTGTCCATATGTTTGCATGTCTGTTTTTCTGCAAAAACTTTATAACCTTGCCTATATAAATTTTGAATGGGTGGATCGAGTTATGAATTTCAAATTTCAGAAGTGTATCTATTAATTGTGACAAGACCTTTCTCTGGGTCATATTTGTTCTTTTGATTTTGACCTTGGAGTCTGACCCAATTTTGCAAAAAAATTACCAAACATTAACCTTGACCATAACATTTGAACAGTTGGCACTAGGGATTTTATATTTCATCCATGTATTTATGATAAGGTCTTCCCTTGGATACCATTAATTTAAACATTTGGCATTGACCTTGGCATTTAACCCACTTAAAAAAAACTTTTCCCTTGACCATATCTTGGAAATGGATGGTGCTTTGGCTTTCATATTTCACAGGTATATTCAAGTGATAATATAAATGAGACAAGTCCTAGCTATCTTTGGTAACAAAACACAATTTTTCACTTGAACTTTGAGTGTGACTTGTATTTTAGAACCATAACCTTCACCATAAGCTGCCATACATGGGTATCAGTGGTTCAGAAACAGTAC